TTTTGAGAAAATAAAGATTTTTATTATATTTTTTTTTGTATATTGTATATGTTGTGAGTGTACATAAGTATGTAGTAGTACACACATCATACAATAAGTAAATTAATACAAATGCACCAGAACTTGTTAAAGTTACAAAACTGATCTACAACTAAAATTTTGTAGGTACCCGATTTCTTGCGCTCCATAAACGCTATCAATGTTTTAAAAGGACTAGGTACGTAAAATCTACAAGAATAAAAGACAACGTTTATAGCAATGGTACAATCACGTACGGACATACATACCTACCTACATTAATGCATACATAGGTACCTAACAATAATGACGTCATTAATCATAAGTAAGAACACGTACAGCCAGTTTGTGACCCGAATTTAAATTCAAAACGTTCACGACTCTTGTCAGCATGAAATAGAAGCGTTTAAAAAGTAATTTATATTTTGTTGTTAGACTGCCTCGTTGGTCGAGTGATCGCAATTGCGACTGCCGGGCAAAGGATGTCGGGTTCGATTCCCGGGTAGGGCAAAGTATTACAGGGTTTTTAAAAAAAATCTCAGTAGTAGCACGGAGTTTGGAACTGTGCCAGGTATATGGCAATAGGCTCACCCTCTATTACATGGGACTCGTAACATAAATAGTAAACAGTGGGGATTACATTGTACGGTGGTATAATGTGCACCTCTGCCTACCCCTTCGAGGATAAAAGGCGTGATGTTATGTATTTGTTACATTTTGTTGATCAACTTTTATTTGAATCTGGACTTCTATTTCCTCGGAAGGATATCTCGAGGTTTAAGTGGTTCCTATTATTTGTGTATGTCTATAGATTCGTAGAAAATTAGTAACTAATACAGGTAGAAGTTTATCGCTATGTATCGGGAATATTCGCAGTTCCTGTGCTGTTACTTAAAATTTTTCATTTCATTTTATCTCATAAAATCCCCATAATATAACATTAAACCACAAAACATTCGTACCTACAAACACCTGTACAAAGCATACCTTTACAGGAAAGGCTCTTCAGTTCGTACCCATACATAGCCTACATCTATGGCGCTCACAAAATGATACACGTCGTTAGGCAATCAATTCAGATGGAAGCTAGGTTCGTTAGGTGCCAGCATACGTTGAGGCGCTTACAAAGCCTAACTACTATTGCAGCATATTCACGTCAAATGTACTTAATAATATTTGGCTAAAGAGGTTAGTCATAGTATGAAGTAACTTCCAGACTAATGAGTATTTTTATTTTATTCTTACTGCTATGATGCATCCGAGATTTTTGACACATTTTTACATATTATAGCTAATTTATTATTCGTTACGTTCTGGTTTCTTGACGTCCAATGTCTTCAGCCTGCTCTAGAGTATCTGGTAGCGTAGTGCCTAGTGTCTCTGGTGTTAAAAAGATTAGGATTCCAGATACCAAAGCGAAGGAGGCAAATAACACAAACGGCAGTTCTTCGAACCATTGGGCACCCTGCAAGTTATAAGATAAATGTTAATTAATATTTAGTTTTAAATTTATTGCATTGTTTTTTTTATATCACTTTTATATTATTAAAATTATTGTTTGAATTGTTCTTATTTTGTAACATTTACTTTTATTCATTATTATTTCAGTTTATAAAAGTAGGACCTAAATAAGGTCCTTGTGGCACTCCTTTGGATATCTTTTAAAAGGCTTACTGGCATCTTAAATACTTACAAAAGCAGGTGTTAAGGGTGCAATTATGGACCCGATTCTTCCCATCATTGAAGAGAAAGCAAACAAGCTGTGTCTATGTTTCGTAGGGTAAAGCTCAGCAGTATAAACATATACTGACGTCGCAACGATTGCTATTGAGCACTTTGCAATAAGGTATACTGTGAGTGATGCTGCATATAAATCTGAAAGAGTATAAATGTTGATATAATTTTGTTGAATGTACGAAAATAAGAGCATTGGTATGCTAGCTGCTAGACGCTTTCGTTCCCTATAATCAAGTAACTAAATTAAGATAAGTCTCACCTTGTGGAATAAATATGTATGCAATCTGACAAGCAGCACATAACCAAAAAGCGCCAGTCAACACAGGCTTTCTTCCAATTCTGTCCATAAGAAAGTATGAAATCCAAAATCCAGGTATCTCAACTGCTGACACAGCCACAAAGTTCAAGTATCTGTTGCCAGACATATTCACAGCATTGAGTGATAGCCCATAGTAAATAAACGTGGTCGTAATCCACCATACGGGGGATACAAGTACACGAAGAAGTATTCTCTTATGTCTAAAAACTTGTACCACTAACCAGGTCCCACCACCTTGTTTTGCTGCTTCTTCAGCACTAATTCTCAACTTCTCCTCTGCTGTATGACGTAACGCTTCCAAGGATTTCTCAGATATTTGTTTCCCATTGACCTTGGCCACTTTTCTAAGAAGAGCCTCTGATTCGTCGAAACGGCCCTTACTCATGTACCAGCGCACAGATTCACTGATGAGCCAGTAGTAGGAGATAGTGATTAACTGCGGAATGTAGAGTGTAAGCGTGAGTTTCCTCCAATTGGGAACGCCCCAGGCAATAAATCCCATCAACACTTGTCCGATTGCAAAGCATGTGTTCATTGCAGCTCCAACAGCCACGCGGTATTTGGGACCGACCAACTCTAACACTGTAATTATTTTATCATTTGTAAGTAATAAAGATCTTGGTTACTCTAAGAAAAAATAAATTAAGATAAATTACAGAGGAGGAAAAATAGTTCTTCTGAATAAAAACACGCAGAGTTGACATAATTTTTAGATATCAAAAATTAAAACGGTAATCGCGTACTATAAATTTTGCTTAAGAACTGAATTACTGATAGCATTATTCCAATACAAATAAATATTATCAATGTTCTCTACACGTGATACAACGTTAAGACAGAGGTCGTAATAAAGGTAGTAATTAATGTTGATGTAACTCATTACACTCACTCAAAATATAAACGCAGGAAAATCCACCAGATCCGAAAGTAGACTCAAAAAACTGAGACAGTATGAAGCCGATGTAGGTGTTTGCCCAATATCGTGTGACTCCAATCCATGCCGTATTGAATGCAGTAATGGTAAGGGCAACTCGTCTACCCCATCGATCCGATATGAACCCAGCGACCGGCAGCGCGGTGAGAGTACCCAGGGTGCGCATCGTGCCGATCAGCGTCCGTCGCCACTCATCACAGGCCAGTCCAAACTAATACGTTAAAATGAAAATTAGTTTAACAATACCTTTTCGGTACAAAATAATTTTATCTTAAAAATTAAGCGTCAAGAAACTGTCAAACCTGCAATAAGATATTTAGAATTCCAAATTTTAATTCGGTTTTACACTAATAGCTTGAGTTTTAATGAAAACAAAAGTAGCTATTGTCACTTTTTTGAGATATTTGTGTGACAATTGGCATTTGTATCTATAGCTATATTACAAATTTCAAAACGAGTAATATGTTATTTCTATATTTCTATATTTCTACTCACATCATACACGACAGAGTGGGTGTTTTGGTACACGAACTCATCGCAAGGAATTCTCGTGTTGCGATCGAAGAGTGCGCTGGGACAGGTGTCACTCTCAATCAGTCTCGACAATGCCGTCAAGTTGCCAAATCTCTGACAATTGTCATAGGAACCTTCACTTGCTCCAAGCGGCACAGCGTTTGCCAACCAGTATGGGGAGAACTCTGTTGATTCTTCTTCACACTCCGTGATTAAGCACCTGGAATTGAACAACTATTTAATAACGGTGAAAAAAGGGATTTAAACTGTCAAACACCAAGCAGTCACCGGTGACTGCAACCTATTGTTCTATAATTGTGTCTATAATGACGGTACTCGACGAGTTAACCTACATTGTACAATGTGATCTATCTACAACAAATTATGGTTATTTGTAATAACTATCGTGAGACATACTGTAGTAAATAAAAATGATGGTTTATTCATGTAAATAAACTGAGAAATACTCTTCAAGTTTCGAGTCACAGAGGGACTCTTCCTCACGAGCAGCGTGCGCGACCACGGCGACGTAGCAGAGTAGGTTGTGCGCCCGTGCACACTAAGTAAGGTAACCGTATTTTTTAGTTTAATTATGGGTTATTGATGATTTTGTATTTGTTAATGGCCAATCTCCAGTTTGACTTACCTGGTAGCAATTCGAGCTGTTGTGAAAATATATTCCACAGAGCTAAATGCAATAAAGAGGACCAATATAGATGACAACAAGAAAGTCCGTAGCTGATATTTCCCAAATTGCCCGAGCTCTTTGATGAGAATTGTATCTAGTTCCACTCCTTTCTTTTTCTCTTCTGTTGGGGCTTCATCTGCCTCTGGTTTTTGATCCCTCTGTGATTCCTCCATTCCTTTATTTACGCCAGCAACGTGTGGGTGCAACTCTAATAATAAAAAAAAATATTCAGAATAAACAAGCTATAAAACTTTTTATCCATTTTACAACAGTACGGTGATAAAATATAATGTTCTGTCAAGCCATCTTAACTGCTATCATATAGGGTGTCCGTGAAAGAATATTTGTTTTTGTAAAATACTGCCTTAACCAGGGTAAGATAAAGTTCATTTTCTTGTCCTACCTCTGTTTTAAAGTACATACTTAGAGTCAGTAAAGTTTATCTTCTTTTCTATTATCCTCTATCATATTTCAATTTCTCCTTCATAAGCTTCTTTGCCCATTTTTTTTCGTCACGTGACTTCCAACCTTTGTCTATATTATTAGAGTCAAATATATTATGAAATATACGCTTTTAAATGTTCTGTAACTGGTGGAGTATTCAGAGTTCTATAACATATTATTATTCTGATATTAATTTTTATCTAGTCATTTCGATTGGCATCACATACTAAAATCTTAATACCAGCTGTTGCCTGCTTTTGTAAGGCATTCTTAAATCTGAAACGACATGTAACGGCCCACAAAAAACCCATAGAAATTCTTTTCGCGGACACCCTATATATAATAGCGCAGGATTACTGGATTATCATTTATTGCACTATTGATATGGTCATATCGATTAAGTTTTCGTTTATTCATTGTGCCACGTGTGTGATATTTTTATTTTACAAATAAAAGGAACGATTGACTGTTTGGACTAAGTGTTTTTGGGTTCATCGATTATCAAAATGATCTCTCATAATAGAGCAATGCCCAGAGTAGTAACGTAACATCATCGTTGGCCGAGTGGTCGCAAGTGCGACTGGGCAAGGGGTCTCGGGTTCGATTCCCGGGTCGGGCAACGTATCACTAGGTTTTTTTTAAAATTCTCAGTAGTAGCACGGAGTCTGGAATTGTGCCCGATATATGGCAATAGGCTCACCCCCTATTACATGGGACTCATAACATAAATAGTGAAAAGTGGGTGTTACATTGTACAGGGGCATAATGTAGAGGTACACCTCTGCCTACCCCTCCGGGGATAAAAGGCGTGATTTTATGTTATATATGTTAAATAAATACAGTCTTCCCGTTACTAGTAAGGATTAAAACAACTACCAGATCAAAAAATAAGTGTATTCTTAAAAAAATCATAAGTAGGTATAATACAAAGGAGATTTTCTGTACATATGATTACCTATATCTAATTGTAGTCAGTTCACTGTTACGTTTTTTGTTTGCGTCCAATATCTTCAGCCTGTTCGAAAGTATCTGGTAGTGTGCTGCCCAGCGTTTCTGGAGTGAAGAATATTAAGACTCCAGACAGTAAGGCGAAGGAGCCAAATAATACGAAAGGTAATTCTTCAAACCATTGCGCACCCTGCAATAAAAATATTTAATAAACATAAAATAAAGCGATTGCAAAATAAGTAATTCTGAGGTTGTAGTTTATTGATAAAATTATTCGATGATTTAATAAATACTTATTAGAATTTTTCCTCTTTCTTTATTTCCTTATCTCAATTAAAATGTAACACATACAATACATACATAGATAGTCAAAGCAAGTGGAATTCTTTGAAAAATCTGTATTATTATTTTTTATAACTTCATATCAATTAATTAAGACTTTGACTACCAATAAAAAACTGTTGAAGGTGGCAAATATGGCAAGAAGATTGATGTGTTTTTTATTATAAAGGTATAATTTAGTGCATGAAGGTACAACTTTGACGGACTTAGTTAAACGCTTAGCTAAAATTCGTAAATATACTTACAAAAGCAGGTGTGAGAGGCGCCACCATAGAACCAATTCTTCCCATCATGGACGAGAACGCAAACAAACTGTGTCTATGTTTCGTTGGGTACAACTCCGCAGTATACACATATACTGCTGTCATCACCATCGCTATAGAACACTTAGCTATAAGGTACACCGTGAGAGAGACACCGTACAAATCTGAAAGGAAAATAATACCTAATTTAGAACATGGTAAATATTTGTTACAGTGCACTCAATCAAAGGTCAATGACATTAGGAATTGAAGATAAACATTCTAGTTGAGGAACATATTAGGAAATGAAAATAGTAAAGAAGGTAAATGACGATACTAACTCGTAGGTATAAAAATGTACGCAATTTGGCAAGCAGCACACAACCAGAAAGCCCCAGTCAATACAGGCTTCCTTCCAATTCTGTCCATCAAGAAGTACGAGATCCAGAACCCAGGGATCTCAACCGCTGATACAGCTACGTAATTCAGGTATCTATTGCCAGACATGTTCACGGCATTGAGCGACAGTCCGTAGTAGATGAAGGTTGTCGTGATCCACCATATAGGGGATATGAGTACACGTATCAGTATTCGCTTATGTCTGAACACTTGGACTACCAGCCAGGTCTCACCGCCCTTCTTTGCTGCTTCTTCAGCACTGACTCTCAATTTCTCTTCTGCCGTATGACGCAATGCTTCCAAGGACTTCTCCGATATTTGTTTCCCATTGACTCTAGCCACTTTCCTAAGCAAAGCCTCGGATTCGTCAAAACGACCCTTGCTCATATACCAGCGCACAGACTCGCTGATAAGCCAGTAGTAAAAGATAGTGATGAATTGCGGAATATACAGTGCCAATGTCAGGTTTCTCCAGTCAGGAACGGCCCAAGCAATCAGACCCATTGTGACTTGTCCAAGTGCAAAGCATGTGTTCATAGCTGCTCCAGCGGCCACACGGAATTTTGGGCCCACCAACTCCATCACTGTGAAACATTTTACATTAATTGTATTATTTCTTGAATAAAATGTTTGATATAATCTCGTGTTGTGCACGCATTATTTGAAACATTCTATTGTTTATCGGATGCTATAAATTTATAGGTACTTATAATATTACTTAATGATAATAATCTAATAGCTACTATCTATCATGTTTGTCGCGCGTGATATCGTTTATACCTAAATACTTTCTCGACTTATCGGAATGGGAAATTCATTTTTATCTTAAGCCTTTATATTTTAACTGGGTTATTTTAGCATTATTTGATGAAGAAATAGATTCTAATGGATTATGATACTGACCGTCACTGAATGTTTAAATAATTATTCATTGTACTTTATCTTAAAAAAATATTTTCGCCTAAAAATGTAATCAATAATATTTCAATATAATTATTGAAAATTAGATTTCTGTACTTACTCAAAATATAGACACAAGAGAATCCACCAGATCCGAAGGTGGCTTCAATGAACTCAGACATCATGAAGCCGATGTAAGTGTCTGCCCAGTACCGCGTGACTCCAAGCCATGCTGTGTTGAAAGCATTAATGGTGAGAGCCACTCTTCGACCCCATCGGTCCGATATGAACCCGGTAATTGGGAGCGCGGTCAATGTTCCAAATGTCCTAACTGTTCCGATCAGCGAGCGTTTCCACTCGTCACAGGCCAAGCCATACTAAAATAAAATATGGACATGTACAACAAATATTTTATCCCAAAATGCAGTAGTATGAGGATAGTAACATATAAAAAGTGCGAACTTGGAAGTTAAAAACTTGAAACATTTTTTACCATGACTGGCAAAATCACTTAAGTGAGTGAGTTGGGTGAGCATAAATAAAGTAACATTTCTATTATAATTTATACACGGATTAACCTATACAGCATAAACATCGTTTTTACTCACGTCATATACAACGGAGAATTTATTTTGGTACACGAAATCATCGCAAGGGATTCTCGTGTTGCGGTCGAAGAGTGCGCTGGGACAGGTGTCACTCTCAACCACCCGGGGTAATGCTGTCAAGTTCCCATATCGCTCACAATTATCATAAGATCCTTCACTAGCGCCAGGCGGTACAGCATTCGCTAACCAGTATGGTGTAAACTCTGGGGACTCTCCTTCACATTCTGGAATTAGGCATCTAGAAAAAAAGAATAAGGTCAAGTTCAACACAAATATTTTTGGTATTCCATTAATCCAATGTCTGTATTTCGTCTGCATATTGGGCAAGTAAAAAGAAACAGTCTCAATCTTTCATAAGGGCCCCAGTTCTCTTATAGGCCATCTTTTAGCCCTTACCTGGTAGTAATACGAGATGTAGTGAATATATATTCCACGGCACTCCAAGCTACAAACTGCACCAACACAACGGACAACAAAAATGTCCGTAACTGATATTTTCCAAACTGTCCGATTTCTTCTACTAGAATAGTGTCTAGTTCCACTACACGATGAGGTGATGTTGGGGCTTCCTCATTATCTACATCTCCTTTTCGGTCTCTCTGTGCTTCTTCCATTTTGGTGTTCCTCAGGGCACGCCCGCCTCTTGTGCGTGCAGCACTAGCAATATGCAGAATAAAATATTTACAAACATTTTATCTATTTTTATAACAGAATTCTGATAAAATGTACTATGAAGTCACACCGCACCGTCTACGCCGTCATCATTGACTAAAGGATTAGTATTTATTAAACTATTGATACGTTTATTGGTATTAAGAATTTGTATAATCATTGCGGCGCGTGCATAAATTAATTTTTAGGCGGTTTTTGATACTTTATTTATAAGTTTCCTGCAGTTATCAATGCGCTTTTCTTTATCAATTCTTATAAATTGCGTTAAGGACGTTTTATTATCTTTATTGCAGTTTGATGTTGTTAAATAAAAGTTGTATATAAACATTAATTATATTTGAATTGGATCTTGAATAACCAGTGGCGTGCACAGGTTTTCGAGACAGGGTAGGCAACTAAATATCGTATGATTAAACCCCTCCCCCCCGCCGGTCATACAATCATGCTCACACAAGATAGGTACATGTACATAATATATTTTGAAAAGTGCGTTCAAGAATATTGTGGTGTATTGTTTCGCCAAATTACATACACTGACATCTCGCGTATTTTTTGTGAAGTACTTCATCAGCTATTGAATAAGCCAACAAAACTTACAAATAATGAAAGATCTATTATTTATTTTAATAATGAAGCATAAATTTGATGAACCAAATTTCATTATGGAATTGTTAAGGTTAATCAATCTGGTCAAAATCATAATATATTACGAATTTAAGAGCGTAGGTACCTACATTATGTCAACAAACAAAACAATAACAAGCGCGGCCGGCTGTGGCCGAGCCGGCCGAGTCTATGCGGTACATTTGTTATTACTACATTACATAAATATTAATAATAAATTAATATGTGAATCAGTACAACCCGAAGTCTAAGTTGATATTTTTAAGAATTATCAAACAATAAACAAGAAAATCAAATAAAAGATCCATTATAGTACATATTTACATTACCTACCTTTTACTTGGGTCAATTCTCGTAACTCGAGTACACCTCTGCCTATGGTCATTACCTGAATCTAGTCCGATAAAGGACATTGCGAAATCTTACTGTTTTTACTTTCAACAAACACATAAAATTACCTATTATTCACACACACTTCACAATCGAATAATATAGGTACTTGTACTAGAAACTGAGAAACAAATACACTATTTGAAAAACCTACACATATATTTAACTACTACTACACATTTATGCAACTTTATGTTTAAAACTAATTCCTAATAATTTAAACGAAAACATAAACAAAGCGATCGCACATCACATGAAAACAATATGGCCGAAAACATTGGAAATGAATTGAAGTCATTACCAATAGTCAATTGAGTGTTTATTATAAAAAAAATGTAGCTTAAAAATTAAGGTAACGCAGCGTTTAATTTCAAAAAAACAAACGTTAATTTAGTAAGTCAAATGAAATTGCATCATCGTCTTAAACCAATATTTCATACTAAAAAACATTCATTCATATAATTTGAAACGTTGTAAATGGCGCCATCTTGACGTATCAATAACTTCCTTTTAACTTTTATAATAATAAAGTCAACTCCTCGTTTAAAATTTCTATAAACCGACAACGCGTAAAAATGTTAAACTTTAATTAAAACACTTGAAAAATATTTGTTAAATACGCATTTATAAAAATACATTCGCATTATATCGAACGAGTTCAGAAGTTTCAACAAAAAATTCAATAGATGGCGCTGGTGTACTCCATTCATCAGTACTTTACGATATACATACAAATTTTATCAATTTAAATCCTTTTATGATTTAATTGTTTTTAAAAATACAATAACTTGTTGTTGTTTTATTGTATTTAGAATTCTTAATAAAATACGATCGTTTTCCAAGTGATGAACGAACGGTCCTCTAATTTTTTAGTTGCAAACATTTTGTCAATCAACAGGAATCGCGTAATATAATTAT